TTTCCTTTACAACAGAAACTTAAATGCTTCCTGTCATAGCTGGAAGGCTGTGTAGCCAAGTGCCACATATGTGAGGGTGGAATCTTGGTGCATTTAGGGAAACTGTTGGTAAACAATTAAGAATTTCAAAGAGAAACCTCCTATGACTCATATTCTATATAAAGGCAATTATTCTGTCATCCTCTTCCGTGGAAATGTACTTTGAAACTGTAATGTCCATAATCCATGTTGTCACATCTCCAGGTAGGAAACCAACCCAAAGACACACAAATCAACAGAAATTTACTGAGGAAGCTCTAAGGGCCTCTTAAGTATAGGTCATGCAGAGTGTGTGTGTGTTTTTTTTTTTAAACGCACAATTGCGTAGTCTATCCATATTGTTATGAATCACATCTTATCAGTCCTATACTCTAGGCCACATGTGGCACATATAGCTACATACCACCATCTCTGTCAACCTGAGGGATTTCTGGTGAAAAAAAAAAAATGAAGATAAAGATGCAAAGGGACAAGGAGCAGGAAGAGAAAGAACAGAAAGAGGAAGAGGAGCACAAGGAAAAGGCGTAGGACTAGGATGGAAGCAGCCACGACTAGACTTAAAAGACAAATATTTCTCCAAATGAAGATACGCCACTGAGAATTTAGCAAGAGTAAAAAAAGCAAAGATGAGCAAAATCTATGTTAGAATACAGAACACTAGTAAGTCATAAATGCTAGGAGTTAAAACCCTTTGGTGGATGAAGGAGATTTTGATTATTGACTATGGTGCTGGTTTAAGAGATGTGCTGATACTGAGACTATTCACTGGGCTGTGATGTGATAGCTTTACTGAATGCATGCCTTTCATGCAAGTCTGCCACTCCTCTCCATATCTGTTCTTCATTTTAGCCCAGTGATCACTTCTGCATCCTCAGGTCACATAACCTTCATGAGTTTTCTAAGACATCTTCCATTTTACTAATTTAAACCTTCCCTACCATCCTTACTATTCCCTGATTTCTAGATTCATTTTTCCAATTTTTTTTTCTGAGTTTCCAATTTGCCTCTGTGATAGATATTTAAATGTGTTCCAAAATGAACAGACTTCTCAGCTTTTATCACCATGTCTAACTCTCTCTTTTATTTCTACGAATAACACCATCATCTTGCTATTTGCTTTTATTTCCCCAAAAAATGTAGCCATTTTTATACTTAATTTACCATTTTTCCTGATAATTTAACCAATGTTCCAGCAAGTTCTATTCTAAAATTTAACCCAAAACAATTCATAGACATAAATGTAAAACCAAAAACTATACAACTTCTAGGAGATAATGGAGGAAAATCTCTGTGACCACAATGAAGTAAGGAAGTGAAGTGACCAAGATCCTGAGTCTCTTTTCTTCCTCCAACCCTCAGTCACCATCATAACCCTTGCTTCATAAGTCATGCCAAAGCCGTAATAATATCAGCCAGTGCTCAGCCCACAGGTGAGAGGACCAGGCAAAGAATCGGGTAAATGAGAGGTGACATGAAAGGCATGCAGTTTCAAATTTATTCTTATTTATAAAATTGTTTTGACAATTTAGTACAGGCCCTTTGTATTTCCATGTAACTTTTCAGAATACACTTGTAAATTTTTATTTAAAAAATTGGGTTTTTATTGGGATTGTCTCAACCTATATAACAGTTAAAGGAAAACTGACAGCTTAAAACTATTAAATCTCAGATTCAGGAACTTGCTGTGTCATTTACTTAGGCCTTATTTAATGTCCCTCAGCAATGTTTTTACGGTTCTTGAACATATTTTGTTAAACTTATTTCTAAATATTTATTTTTATTTATTTATTTATTTATTTATTTATTTTGAGATGGAGTTTTGCTCTTGTTACCAAGGCTGGAGTGCAATGGCGCGATCTCGGCTCACCGCAACCTCCGCCTCCTGGGTTCAGGCAATTCTCCTGCCTCAGCCTCCTGAGTAGCTGGGATTACAGGCACGCGCCACCATGCCCAGCTAATTTTTTGTATTTTTAGTAGAGACGGGGTTTCACCATGTTGACCAGGTTGGTCTCGATCTCTCGACCTTATGATGCACCCGCCTCGGCCTCCCAAAGTGCTGGGATTACAGGCTTGAGCCACCGCGCCCGGCCTAAATATTTATTTTTATGCTATTGTAAAATACTTTTTTTCAGTTGCCAAGCATGTATTTGCTAGCTAATACATCAACCCAGTATAGAGACACATACACTAGCCTTTTTATCTTAGGCCTTGCTAAACTGAAATATTAGAGCTAGTAGCTTTTTAGTAGACAATTTGAAATTTTCAATATTATCATATCATATGTAAATACAGACAGTTTGGGTTCTGCCTGTACAATCTTTCAATGTTTTTTTTTTTTAAATGAGAAGTGATGAATGTTGACAAATTTATCTTATTATTCCTAATGTTGGGGAAAATCAGCTTATCAAATCTTTGATCACATATATATCAGATGTGCTGTTAGCTGTTTGTTTTTCATAGATGTGCTACATTAGGTAGAGGAAATCATCATCTTGTTCTAGTTTGCTGAGTTTATCAAAACCTAGTTTTGAATTTTGTAAAAACGCTTTTATTACAGTTTTGAGATTTCTATTTTAGTCTGTTAATATAGATTATATTAATAGAGTTCGAATTATTGGATCGAAATCGTATTCTTGATAAACCTCAATAAGTTTTATTATTGTTTTATATGGATGAATTCAATTTGCTAAATTTTGTTTTGTTTTAGCATGAGCGCAAGTTTATTTAAAAAGGCTTAAGGCCGGGCGCGGTGGCTCGAGCCTGTAATCCCAGCACTTTGGGAGGCCGAGGCGAGTGGATCACGAGGTCAACAGATCGAGACCATCCTGGTCAACACGGTGAAACCCCGTCTCTACTAAAAATACAAAAAATTAGCTGGGCATGGTGGCTCGTGCCTGTAATCCCAGCTACTCAGGAGGCTGAGGCAGGAGAACTGCCTGAACCCAGGAGGCAGAGGTTGCGGTGAGCCGAGATCGCGCCATTGCACTCCAGCCTGGGTAACAAGAGTGAAACTCCATCTCAAAAAAAAAAAAAAGGCTTTAGGCCGGGCGCGGTGGCTCAAGCCTGTAATCCCAGCACTTTGGGAGGCCGAGGCGGGTGGATCACGAAGTCAAGAGATTGAGACCATCCTGGTCAACTTGGTGAAACCCCGTCTCTACTAAAAATACAAAAAATTAGCTGGGCATGGTGGCACGTGCCTGTAATCCCAGCTACTCAGGAGGCTGAGGCAGGAGAATTGCCTGAACCCGGGAGGCGGAGGTTGCGGTGAGCCGAGATCGCGCCATTGCACTCCAGCTTGGGTAACAAGAGCGAAACTCCGTCTCAAAAATAAATAAATAAATAAATAAAAATAAAAAGGCTTTAGTACAGGAAAGAAAGGCAAGTATGCCTGGAAGAGACCCAGTGGGCAATTTGAAGGACCAGTGCCCCAATTTGCTAAAATTTTATGAAGGCTCTGTGCCTACATTCACGCAGTTATTGGTCTATAGTTCTGTTTAATGTCATTGCCTGCTTTGGTGTCCTGTTAACGCTAACTTTCATATAGTCCAGAACTGTTCAAACCTTTATCTTTTTCGAAGAGTTTGTAAACAATTGGTATTATTTCTTCCTTTAATATTTTGTAAAAGTTCTAGGGATGACTCTCAGCTGATGCCATCAAGAAAAATTGCAGTCCTACAACCACGAAGAACTTAAATATGCTAACAACCCAAATAAGCAAGAAACATATTGTCCCTGAGATTCTAGAAACACAATCATGCCAACATTTTGATTTCAGTCCAGTGAGATCTGTGTTATACTTATGACTTACAGAACAGTAGATAACATATTTGTGTTGTTTAAACCATAAGTTTGTGGTGATCTGTCAGGATAGCAATAGAAAGCAAATACATAAACATTATTCTATGAGAATTTCTTCAGTTTCCAATGCAGTATTTCCTAGACTCATGTTGTACCTTTTCTGTCACAACCTGAAAACAGCCTCTTCTGTAAAGACTTCTCATTCCGTTTATTAAAAAATTATATAAACCAGTAAATGGGCATTAAATATACTCAAAGCTACTGGCATGCCACTGCTTGCTAGGCTGTCTCAGAAAAGATAGGAAATATGTGCACATTATCTATATGCACTGAATTCTTTATCTGTAGTTAAACCTATAAATATTTCAGAAGTTGGATATTTTAAAAGATTCATAAGACTACAGTAGCATACTCACGTAAGGCTTTTATTTATAGAAAAAGATATGATAGGGAATACAACACCAAATGCACAATGAATAAAATAACAAACAGAAAAACTGGACTTCTTAAAAATTAAGACAATCTGCTCTTGGAAAGATATTGCTAAGAACTGAAAACAAGGCCCAGCATGGTGACTCATGCCTGTAATGCCAGCACTTTAGGAGACAGAGGCAGGAGGATCACTTGAGGCCAGGAGCTAGAGACTAGTCTGTGCAACACAGCAAGATCTCATCGCTAAATTTTAAAAAAGAAAACAAAAGCCACAGACCATGAGAAAATATTGGCAATGCTTATATCAAATAAGGAATTTGTCTCCAGAAATATTAAGAACTTGTAACCAACCAAATATTTTTAAAAACAGGCAAAAAATAACAGATATTTCACTAAAGAAGATACATGGGTGACAAATAAGCACATTTTAAAATGCTCAAAACAGTCCTCAGAAAATAAAAAGTAAGAACTACGATGAAATACTACTGCATACTACTAAAATGGCTAAAATGAATGGCCTATGACTTCCATACATATAAACTGTCAGAAACGGAAAATCTAATATACTCCAGGAGGAAATGTGAAATGCTAACCATTTAGAACACAATTTGGCAAGTTCTTAAAATTTCAAACATTTGGATCAACTTATAGAATAACTGAGTGAGGAGCTTTGCAGACCTGTTATGCAGCCAAACTGGTGAAAATTATAAAAACACAATTCAGTCTCTGGAAATGGTCACAAGGGTATATGGCAAATAAATATTAAAGAAGATCCAATATTCATAAGAACAGCAAAAGTCAGTCCCATCGGAACCAAAACCACTCCTTTCCTCCCCCACCTCCAAACTCAGGGAGATTAAAACTCCATTCCAGACTGAGTGCAGCCAGGAATACAGGGCCCCCTCTCCCTGGAGCTCCCAGGCAAAGGGCTGTCTTCTCAGGAGGGGCAATCTGTCACGAATTCTCATCCTGCCTCCAGGATGCATATTTAGATGAATGATGTTCAATTGCCAGCTCCCCCATAAAGGCCATTCTCAAAGTTTGTTTTAAATCAGGTCAAATTGATTTAGAGACAGTATATAACCTGCTACCCTAAGGCCTTCTCCAGTCTAAACTTTCTGGTGTTGAACAGAGTTAGGCCTTTAGCTAAAGTCTTTTTCCACATTCACTAAATTGCCCACTCTGTGAACTGTCCAACAGTTGAATGAAATTGGAGATGTGCCTAATGGATTTCCATTTGTTACCTTCAAGACATTTTTCCAAGGTGAACTTTCTGGTGTTGAATGAGGTTGAAATGCTGACTAAAGGACTTCCCACAATCACTGCATTTCTCCAGTGTGAATCCTTCGATGTTTAACAAGACTGGAGCTGTGGCGAAAAAATTTCCCACATTCCCTGCACTCATAAGGCCTTGCTCCAGTGTGAATCCTCTGATGTTTAACAAGGCTGGAATTCTCACTAAAGAATCTGCCACATTCATTGCACTTAAAAGGCTTTTCTCCAGTATGAACTTTTCGATGTTGCATGAGGCTTGAGCTTTGGCTAAAAAATTTCCCACATTCGCTGCACTCATAAGGCCTTTCTCCAGTGTGAACACGCCAATGATTGATAAGGCTGGATTTGTGGCTATAGAATTTTCCACATTCACTGCACTTATAAGGTCTTTCTCCAGTGTGAACTCTCTGATGTTTCATGAGGCTGGAGTTGAAACTAAACAATTTCCCACATTCACTGCACTCATAAGGCCTTACTCCAGTGTGGATTCTGTGATGCTGAACAAGTGTGGAATTATGCCTGAAAGCTTTTCCACATTCACTGCATGTAAAAGGCTTTTCTCCAGTGTGAACTCTCTGGTGTTGAATGAGGTCAGCATTACGGCTAAAGGATTTCCCACAGTCACTACACCCATAAGGCCTTTCTCCAGTGTGAACTATTTGGTGTATAAAAAGGTTGGACTTATGACTAAATAACTTCCCACATTCACTGCATTCATAAGGCTTTTCCCCAGTATGTAGTCTCTGGTGCTGAACAAGTAAATATTTCTGACCGAAGGTTTTCCCACATTCACTGCATGTGTAATGCCTTTTTCCAGCATGAAAGGCCTCCCTACTTTTGGTAGTCCTATGTGACTCCTCTCCCCTGTGAGTCATCTGGTGCTTAAGAAGACCTGAGCTGGTTGGAAGGTCCTTCCCAACCTCCCTGCTTTGCAAGGACTTCTCTGACAGGTGGATTCTGCAACTCCTCAAAACTGGGATCCTGCCCTCTTCTCTTTTTAAGGGTTTCTCTCCACATTGCTGCTTCTGGTGTTGCTGAACATTTGAGCCAAGCACTCCTACAGAAGCACTCTGCTTAGGAGCCTCCTTGGCCTCCACTCCATTCCAACAACCTGAAAGAAATGTTGTTGAAGTATACAGAGACTTCGGTGTAAGGAGGTAGCACTCTCACAAACATGTCTGACTCACCCAGTAACTAGTGCCTGGAACTGCTGGCAGAAATGAGCTCTCAGCAGGAAAGGGCCTGCCGTGCAATGCTGAAGCCAGCCAGTTCATGAATTTGGGGAGGACTTATGAGCCCCAAAGATGCAAGGATGGGATGTAGCACAGGGAGGAGAGACAGGGTCCCCAACACAATTATCTCCAAATGGCCTTCCGTAGGGCTTTGGCTGCTGGAGACACAGGAACACAGCACAGAAGGGTATATCCAGGTCCAGAAAATACCAACTGCAACCAAACAGCTGTTGTTCAAGAACTATGCAAAGGTAAGCCCCCACCTTACCACACATTCAGTGAAAGCTATTGAAGGGTGCTGCTGAGGCCTGGGTCAAACACTGAGGACAGAGAGGTGGGGAATGGCCCTGGGTCAGATATCAGAAGATATAAATGGGTGACTGAGGAATAAAAGATAGAAATCAGCAATGACCCCTTGCTTTGGTATCAAAATATCTGGGCCCACTGGAAAGACTCCTGGTATGATATGAACCCATCCCTGAGTTCATGCCTCCCTGAGCTCCACCCACCAAGTACCTCTTGGTATGGCTGAAGTCATAACTTCCCAAGCAGGCATGAAGGGCTCTTCCCATGACTCCAGCTGAGTTATTTCACGGGTCTTGGAAGATGCAAGTCCTAAAGAAAAGGATAGCTCAGTGGCAGCACTGAGCCAGAATGACTTATCCCATCAGGGACCACAGGAAAGAAAACAAAATAGTACAGAAAGAACCTTGAAGGAGGAACAACCCAGTCAAATAACAATCACATTAGTGACTCAATTCCTGGCACAGACAGACACCCAGATACGCTGGCTAGAAGAAGCAGGCAGAATATAGGGGTACAAAACTGCCACAGATCTGCACAGTGTCACCAGGCCACAGAGAGGCCACCAGGGGTAAGATCCATCAAACTGACTGCAAGACTCCTGACCCCCAAATCCTTCCCTGCACAGCTCTGGGACAGCTTGGGCAGAGAAGGTGGTAGTATACACAGCCCAGACCTACTATAGTAGATACTTCACGATATTGGAGAAGGATCAGTGCCCACAATTCAGCTTTGGGAAGAACAGACTTATCCCCAGGAAAAGGAGGAAGAGCTGAGCCCAGCCCAGGATGCTGGGGTGGTGTGTGAGAACCTTACCCAGAGAGGCCATAAGTGAAAAGTTCTCTAGCATCACATTGCGGTAGAGGAGCCTCTGAGCCTCATCAAGCAATCTCCATTCCTCCTGGGAGAAGCAGACAGCCACGTCCTCAAAGGTCACATAGCCCTGCCAAGATGGAGAGAGTTGAGTTTATATGTGGCTTCCTTAATGGGGACTTTAGACCTCTCCCCAAATATACGCCCCTGCTCACCCTCTTCCCTAATCCCCATCTCAGAGGTAAGACCCTGCCCCAGAGCCACTTATCCCTACTCTTTCCTCATGGTCCCACTGAGCAACCATAGGCAGGTAGGCAGATAAGAGTCCATCTCAGCTCTGGGCATGGTATGCAGAGTCCTACTCTTCTCTTGCCAGACAACTGGCCTTGGGTCCCCCAGATTGTGTTTCCCAAATACAATCAAATTTGTGTCAGTGTTCTCCCTTAAGCCCCCAATACAAGGTCCTGGGGCCATCTGTTTACACTCACTAGAATATGCACATACTCTGTACCGCATCCACCGCCTCCTACACCACTTTATATGCCCCCTCAAGCGTCACCACGTGCCAGTCTACACATGGCATCCAGAGGTCACTTACCAAATGCAATCAGAACTCCATGCCATCCTAGACCTCCAATGGCACTGACTGGCAGGAGCAACTCTCAGCCCCATTTTGAAGGCCTCCCTACTTGGCTGCTTTTCTTGCTTCTTCTTCAGCTACCTGGAATTGCACGTGTATCTGGACACCTCTGGCACTCTTCCATTTCTGTGTTGAAAAGCTGTCCCTTTCCTATGTCACCCTTCCTCTGACTCTCATTAGAATCCCAGACCTGGCCAGGAGCAGTGGCTCACACCTATAATCCCAGCACTTTAGGGGGCTAAGGTGGGTAGATAACCTGATGTCAGGAGTCCAACACCAGCCTGACCAACATGGAGAAACCTCGTCTCTACTAAAGACACAGAATTAGCCAGGCGTGGTGCATGCCTGTAATTCCATCTACTCAGGAGGCTGAGGCAGGAGAACTGCTTAAACCCAGAAGCAGAGGTTGCGGTGAGCCGAGATCGCACCATTGCACTCCAGCCTGGGCAACAAGAGCAAAACTGAGTCTCAAAAAAAAAGGAAAAAAGAAGCCTAGGCCATATGTCTCCCAAACCAGGCTTAGCAATTCTCCCAGATGAACTCATTTGATCTTGAGCTAATCCAGCAGCCTGAGAAACTCCCCAGGTCCCAGGTAAGAACAAAAGCCTTGTGATCCCACAGCTGGATGAATAACCAGCAGTGCCAGGCTTCCTGCTATCTTACCTCATTATAACTTCATCTTCATGTCCATCTCATGTCTACCCCCACAGGAACCTTGGCCACCAGCCAGACCCTCCTCACCCTGACATCCCCTTCCTCATGGCCACCATTTGCCTTCATGTCCTTGTGAAGTCCACCACTCCCATTCAGGTATCCAAGCAAGAGACCCAATTCTTGGCCCCTATACGTTCTCCCTTATTACCTAATGGCATTACCAATAGGACCTCAAGATGCTCCCTCCTAAATCTGCTCCACTGCTCCATCTTGGTCCACATACCAGCTGTACTGGGTCTCCAATCTGAACCCTTCACTGAATTCCAGACTTCTTTGTCCACTCAATGAATCCACTCAAGGGTCTCTGGAACATCTCATTTCAACATGGCCGAAACCTAATTTAATTATTCCCACTGAAAATTACTCTTACCATTCACCTCTCTCTCCCCAACCCTACACTTTAGAAAATCTGCTCACATCTACTTAAAAAACACAGACTCCAACCACATCTCCTATGTCCACAGGCACCACTCTGGTCAGCACTCCCTAGATAACTGTAGTAGTCTCGTTGTTGATCTCCCTGCCTCTACCTTTAACCCTGTAGTTGTTCTCAATAGCAGAAAAAGCTTAACTCTGGTCCGTACTTACTGTGCAGCCTTCCACATTTCCATCCTTCCTGATATTAAGGAACAAACAAAAATACAAAGAACAGAGGCCCAGCTCCTCAGCCAACCACTTCAGGTCTACCTTATACTTGCTGATTTTGACATAACGGAGATCTAAGGCTGAATACCATTATTATGTATCAAATGGAATGCAAAAGCATTCCCAGCACAACCTTACCCCCATGTATTTTCTAATGTTGATCACTATATCTTTTAAACCTCCTGTCATTGGTTGCCAGAAATGAGAACCCCTCCAGGGAATATATAGTCTGGGCCAGACACAGTGGCTCACGCCTGTAATCCCAGCACTTTGGGAGGCTGAGGCAGGTGGATCAAATGAAGTTGGGAGTTCGAGACCAGCCTGACCAATATGGAGAAACCCCATCTCTACTAAAAACACAAAATTAGCCAGGTGTGGTGGCTTATGCCTGTCATCCCAGCTACTCGGGAGGCTGAGACAGGAGAATTGCTTGAACCCCGGAGGTGGAGGTTGCGGTGAGCTGAGAATCCAGCCTGGGCAACAAGAGTGAAACTCTGTCCCTAAATAAGTAAATAAAATAATATATAGTGTGGACTCAGGGCCCTGACTTTGTTTGATCATCTTCCAGGGAACTCAAATGGAAGGGCAGTGAGAATAACAAGCAAGGAGTCCCAAAACACCATAATTCTGAAGACCATGTAGGCAGGAGTTGAGGAGGATGAGGACCTTAAACATCCTCCACTTACCTCTTCATTGTCTATAAGTAACTCTGCAGCCACAAGAACCTATGGAAAAACAAGGCCATGAGAAGCAGACAGTGATGTCGGCCAAGGATCATCCAAGCCGCCTCCTCTACCCTGGAGGCAGGTTGCCTGACTATCTACAGTCTGGACTTTGGTTCTTAGCAATGCCTCTTACTTGTTGTGCGCTTTTGGAAGAATGCACAATTTCCCTGTGCTTAGTGTTGCCATCTGCAACATGGCAATAATAATGGTATTCACTCAATAGAACTACTGTTTGTATCAAACTCATTCTTATGTGTCTAGGACTAAGTATCAACTCTTACTGTACACATAATGCTTTTGTCAACATTTTCAGTGCAAATAAACTGGTAGGTTTTGAAAGTGTGGGTTTCTGGCTGGGTGTGGAGGCTCACACCTGTAATCTCAGCACTTTGGGAGGCTGAGGTGGGCAGATCACCTGAGGTCAGGGGTTTGAGACCAGCCTGGCCAACATGGTGAAACCTCATCTCTACTACAAATACAAAAATTAGCCAGGCATGGTGACAAGTGCCTGTAATCCCAGCTACTCAGGAGTCTGAGGCAGGGGAATCGCTTGAATCTAGGAGGCACACTTTTCTTTTTTTTTAATTTTTTTTTTTTTTTTTTTTTTTTTGAGACAGAGTTTCGCTCTTGTTACCCAGGCTGGAGTGCAATGGCGCGATCTCGGCTCACCGCAACCTCCGCCTCCTGGGTTCAGGCAATTCTCCTGCCTCAGCCTCCTGAGTACCTGAGATTACAGACACACGCCACCATGCCTAGCTAATTTTTTTGTATTTTTAGTAGAGACGGGGTTTCACCATGTTGACCAGGATGGTCTTGATCTCTTGACCTTGTGATCCACCCGCCTCGGCCTCCCAAAGTGCTGGGATTACAGGCTTGAGCCACTGCGCCGGGCACTTTTTTTTTTTTTTTTTAAAAAGGGGTTTCACCATGTTGGTCAGGCTGGTCTTGAACTCTCGACCTCAGGTGATCCGCCCGCCTTGACCTCCAAAGTGCTTGGATTACAGGCGTGAGCCACTATGCCCGGCTGAGGCACACACCCTTTATGTGGCCTCCTTACTTATCTGAACCAGGAGGCCTTAGGCTCGGCACTCTCAGAGTGTACCTCACATCTTTTTTTTTGAGACTAGGTCTCGCTATGTTGCCCAGGCTGGAGTGCAGTGGCTATTCACAGGCGCGATCCCACTACTAATCAGCATAGGAATTCTGACCTGCTCCGTTTTCGACCTGTGCCTGTGCACCCCTCCTTAGGCAACCTGGCGGTGCCCCGCTCCCGGGAGGTCACCATATTGATGCCAAACCTAGTGTGGCCACCCGATCAGCATAGCTCACTAGAACCCAGAACTCCTGGGCTCAAGCCATCCTTCCACCCGCCCGACAGGCATGCCCCACCATGCACAGCGAAAACGTGGGTTTCTTAAACATATTTTTAAATTAAGAATGTGATACTTAAGATATTTTATCTTAATACTTTACAGTATATTAAGTTTACAACCAATTCTGAAGTGCTTACATCAGTTTAACTTAATAAATCTGTGTTGTTTTATTTGCCTCTGTGTGCATATGAACTATGATCAATTAGTGCTTAAATAAGTTCTTAACTCATAAATTCACAAGTTAATAAACTGCGACCTGGCTCTGAGGAACCTGAGCAGATACCATTTCTTTTGGCAGTCTGGCTGCCTGTTACATACTCCGCTGAAGGCAATACTGCTGAGAGCCCTTCTACTGGAGCAGTTATCATCCCTTCTGTGCTGACGGCTAGGGAAACTTAGGCACCAAAGCGGCTGCTCCACCAGCCTGGCTGACCTTTCCTTTTCTCCAGATGGACTGGACATGAGCACCTGCTGAGCCTGGAGTGGAAAACCTATATACTACCCTGCAGTCTCCATCCAGTCCTGGGTCTTTATAATCCTCCATTCCTGCAGACACCAGACAGACCCACTTCGGACCACAAAACTCCATGCTATAGAGGCAGCTGCATCCTACAGGCCCATCTCTCCCTTCCTTCACCTCAGAGCCCAACTGAAAGACAAAGATTCTCCCTCCTAAATAGGAGCCCCAAGCCTTACCCTAGTCCAGGCCTCTACCCACCATGTCTTGGATATCTCCAGCCCAGATCCCTTCCCAAACTTCAGATGTGAGTGAGCAAGCTGCCCATGTGGGCATGACGCCTCCACTCTGGGACATCTCAGGATCACCATGCCCAAAACCTACTCCCTGTGTAGCCTTCCCCATCTCCATTCTTCTTGATATTCAAAACAAACAAACAAAAAAATACGAATAAAAATCCAGAATGGCTCTTCATCCCCTACTTTTCACAGTCACACCTGCTGCAACAGCAATTCCTGTCTGTCCGGTTTTTGAAATCCATCCCAGATCTGATCACTACCCCTCCTCTATGGCCCAGTCCCACTTGACTCTCCACTAGCCTATTGAGTTTACCTACTCACAGGCTGTCTTTACCCGCCTCACCCTCACTCCGGTCTGTTTTGCCTTTGGCAAACTTTTTGAAACAGATCGTGTCGTTCTTCTGTCCCTCGCCCTCCGCGGCCACCGTAGCCCCCTCAGGATGAAGGCGCAGCTGCTGTGGCTCCACACTTGGCTCGCCCCTTCCCAAGCTGCCTACTACAGACACCAAGAGGCCTCCGGTTCGGGACTCGCAGAGTGTGCCTCACATCTTTGCGAGCCGGGCCCCCTGCCCTCCATTCCTAATCCATCACACTGCGTATCAGAAACGGGACCCCGCCCACGAAAAGCCCCAGCACCCGGGGACCTGGGCAGGCGGCCCTCACAGGGCTTTAGGATTCAGGGGACGCCAGGAGAACGCGGCGCTCACCTCAGCGGGCTCCCTCAGCGCGGCCGCCGCCATCAGAGCCTGTGGGTTGAGCCGGGAGGGGGAGACAACGACCGAGGAGAGCACCTGAGCCACTCTAGGCGCCGCCACCAAGCCTCAGACCCGCCTCTGAGCGGCGAGAACAGTGCACGTCGCTAACGCGCCTTCCGGCGCTGGTAGCCTCGGCTTACAACCAGCTTCCCGCAGGCTAAGCTCACCGTTAGGGCAGAGTGACCGCCGAGGGGCGGCGACACCAAAAGTCCCGCCCATTGCGCGCTGCACGCTTGGGCAGGTCTCTTTTCATTGGCCAAGCGTCGCCGCCTGGCGGTACGGCGCCTTCTGGGCAATGTAGTTCCCAACGCGCCAAACTTCGAGGAAGTGGGCGTGGCTACGGAGATGGAGATTAGAGATGATCGTTAATGATGGAGATGGAGATGATAGATGATGATGGAGATGGAGATAGATGGAGATGGTGGTTGCAGATGATAGGTAATGATGGAGATGGAGATAATAGATGATGGTGATGGAGATGATGGAGACGGAAATGGAGATGATGGAGATGGAGATGGATATGATGATAGAGATGGAGATGGAGATGATGATGGAGATGATGGACATGGAAATGGAGATGATGGTGATGGAGACAGATGGAGATTATGGAGATGGAGATAGATGGATATCATGGAGATGGAGATGATGATGGAGATGGAGCTGATGGAGATGGAGATGGAGGAGAAATCAGGGTACAGAACTTCTCTCAGACTCATCCTGAGACTGTTGTAATTGGAGATGGGCCTGGATTTCAGTTTCCTGCAGCTGATACTCCAATCTTTCCTTCTTTTGAAGGACTTGAAGACGATCTTCAGGGCCACAATAGAGAGTTTTCTTTGGGCAGAGCCTTGTATACATTCCCAAATTTCCGTTGGCAAGGGGACACTCAACGTTAAAGTCAACAGTGGCCAAGCAATCCCTGATGCATGATTATAAGAAAACGCTCTGAATTCTGGATGTAGGTGACGACGGTGTAGGGGAGCCCAAGGATTTACTTTCCTCCTTCACCCCATGCTCATTTGTGCTCTTCCCTTCCTCAAGGACCCAACATCGGTGTATAGGCACAATAGGCGGCAAACCCGAAAGGCAACTCCCTCTGAATTTCTCCCCTTCATCCTTTTCTGCTTCATGTTCCCACTTCTCTTCCATTTCCAAATATAAAGCCAATTCCTCACAGGTGGTTAGAATGCTAGACTGTTGTTTACAACACACAACTACTGATTTAAAAAAGATGTCAACCCTTTATTATATGTCATCCCACTACCTCCATTTACATTGAATCTAGTCCCCTCATGTCAGTCTAATTTCCCTGCTTCTTTTCCTGCCCCTTCCATCTGTGGGCTGAATAATAGCCAATTTCAACACAGCCTTGGGGTGACTTATGAGGACAAGAGAAAATGAAGCCTTCCCTCCTTCTTGGAGATTTCTGGAACCGGTGTTCAGTACTAGTTGACTCTGAAAAGGAGGAGGGGAGTCACTATTGGGATTGAGAATATGGTAGATTAGAGAGACACATGTTGTTTACCCATTTGCAACTATGGCATTAGTTATTTCAGTTAGACAATTATGTGGCATGTGGAAGGGAGGGGAGGAGGTGGGGAGGAGAGTGAGGAGAGATGAATCCATGACAGGAGTGGGACAATGTGTAGACAAACTCCCCCTTCTTAAACCAAGCACAGGAATAAATGTTTTACTTCCTTGAGAACATCTATTAGAATGGATTCCGGATCATTCATCTAATAGATTATGTGTAAGCCATGAAAATTAGCTGACCATCATGACATGAACCTTTGTGAACAAATCCAACAAACATATTACAGAATCTTTTCACACAGTAGAAAACATATAGAAAATTCAGAATTTGGCAATAAGAAACCCATATAACATTTAAGAAAATATATATACGTGGTAAAACTATAAAGACATTAAAATAATGATTATCAAAATGATTAACAAAAATGTCATGGAAATGTTAGCTTGATGGGGTGTGTCAGGTATGTAAGGTGATGTGAAAAGAGAGGATGCCTAGGAAACTGTTTTTTAGCCAGGTGTGGTGGCAGGCGCCTGCAATCCCAGCTACTGAGAAGGTGGAGGCAGGAGAATCGCTTGAACCTGGGAGGCAGAGGTTGCAGTGAGCCAAGATTACACCACTGCACTGCAGCCAGGGTGACAGAGCAAGACTCTGTCTCAAAAAATAAAAAATAAAAAAAGAAAGAAACTATGTTTTATCATGACTGTTTTTTCCACAGATGTGACATTAATTAAACAAACTATACCTCTTCTGAACATTATAATGAATTGTGAGACAGTTTTGAAATAAAGAGTATATGTATACAACTTAATTTTATCACAGGAAGAGACAATCAACTAAAACAGACTCATATGCATAGAATTGCAAATAACATGATTGGTTAGGACAGAGAAGACTATTTAATCATTTGGTTTAGGTAAAATCATTGTCTACATAAGAAATTCACTTACAGTGGGGTGCAGTGGCTCACACCTGTAATCCTAGCACTTTGGGAGGCTGAGGTGGGCAGATCACCTGAGGTCAGGAGTTCAAGATCAGCCTGGCCATCATGGTGAAACCCCATCTTAAAAAAAAAAAAAGAAAGAAAGAAAAAGAAATTCACTTATATCTCATTTAATTCACAAAACAAATCCCATGAAGCTTTTTTTTTTTTTTTTAATAGCAACATAGGCTGGGTCTATATATTTTCTAACTTCTGGAATCCATTTTTATTTCCAACCTTTAGGAATATTTATATGTTTATAAGGAGTGAGAACATCAAAGTTTGAGTCCAAGACTCTGCCTCTGGCCATATCTCCTTCAGGGCTGGCAAGCACATTCCTCAGTGTTTGGAAAGCCTAACATACCCAAGGTGGCATGAGAAGCAGATGCACCTCAGGGTCTTATCATAGGTCAACCCTCAACACATGAGCAGCTGCAGGGAATGAGTGAACACTGAGGGCTGTAACCAACTAAACAAATTTTGATGACATCTCCTGCCCTCCCCAAGTTTAGAGCTTAATAACATGAGTCACCACCCAGTAGCTCTGGAAACTCTGGACTTCCATGGAGATGGCCATCTGGTCCTTAGACACTTGAAGTCTGACCACCTCAGCTAGAGAGCCCAAACTAACTTTCCATCTCAACTATCCTTATAATAAGGAAAAGTAGACAGGGAGATGAGGCCATAGGATGGGAAAATATAACCATTTCCTCAAGGAGGAAGGAGCCTAATATTTCAGAAGAGCAGTTCAGCTCCATAACAGGTAAGCAGCTCTATGTCCTGTTATTGTCCAAACACAGTCTTATGCTCAAAGACACCACCCCAACAGACATTGCCTTGGTGATTATAAACTCTTCTGAAGCTCCAGTGGAATCAAGGATCCAGGATCACCAACTATTCAAAAGTACAGCTATTCCTAACCACTACAACCGTCTACTCTTCCACAGATACCACATCTTTGAGACTTACCTGGATGACTTTGGTCTGCTCAACATTGACTCACCAAAAAATGACTGAACATTTTACTGAGAAAAAGTTCTTTCCTCTGCACATACCACCCAAATACAGCATTCTTTCTTCCCAGATCAAGCCTTGATTCACCTTGTTTTGTGTAGTAATGCTTCTTTATACTGCTAAGTAGAACTCCATTGTCTATATATATCATAGTTTGTTAATCCACCTTATCTGCCTGGTTTTGTAGAATTTGCTAAGTTCACATTCTACCTGGGAGCTGAATCTAGAATGGTAAAAACGAACAAGCAAACATAAAGAAAAAATGCCAGAAGTTGTTCTAAATAGTGGTGAAAATAACAGGGGATATGAAGGGGAGAATGTGAGGTCATGGCAGTTGTACTGAGGACACCTTCGGAAATGTTTAAGCTGAAGGCTCAGGACAGTGCCCATTCAGATGAGTTGGATGTGGGTGGCTTTCTTGAAGGTGAATTGAGTTTACACCAAAAAAAAAAAAGAGAGAGAGAGAGAGAGAGAGAGAGAAGGAGGCAGCTGTGAATAAAAACAAATTTAAAATATTCAGGTAAAAGGTTGAGCAAGTGACAAAGAGATGTGACCTGGAGGTGCCGCTCACTAGCATTGGTGCCATGGGAACTACATTACCCAGAAAACTTGGTGGCTGTGGGCCAATGAAAGCCCAGGAAATGGGCGTTACCGTTGGTGTGGAAAACGTCAGGGCGGGACTTCCTCAACCATCCTCGGGTGGACATTTTGTTTGCTTTTCCATTAAACCACTGGCTTAGTCTCCGGATGTCAGACCTGAGGTGACAGAAACGGGAAAACGTGAGAGCGTCTTCTTCCCTGAAGAGAGGTGGGCCTGAGATTCAACAGTGGCGCTGTCTGAGTAACCAAGCCGCGGGGTTTGGCCTTTGACGGCTGATCCCAGGTTCCCTCACTTGTCGCCACCCTTCCGTAGTTCACTGGCCTGATGGCGGCGGCTGCGCCGACGGGCCAGGCACAGGTGGGTGCTGCGTCTGCGAGTCCGCGCTCTGACCCCCATCTCTCAATCCTAAAGCTTCGAATGAACGGCTTCTCGGGTTACTGCAGCTCAGGCCCCTGTATCTAGAACAGTGGGGGCACTTGTGCTTGGAACCTAATTTGACAGCATGAGTTGAACGACGTTCCAGGCAGAGGGACAAACGTATGCAAAGGCTCAGAGGTGGTACACAGCTGGAGCGTTTGGGAAAACTGGGTCTTTGGTGTCTGAAAGGACCAGAGTGCGTTGTAAGTGATCACACCTGGAATATCAGCCTGAGCAGTTGGCTCTCTATTCTGAGGGTGATGGGAGCCATGGAAGGCTCTAAACAAAGGAGAGCCACGATCTGAGGGTTTAAAAAGTATTCCATAGACAGCTTGGGGGAACAGACTTGTTTTGGCCACAGGGGCGGATAATGAGCACTATTCCAAGGCATCCTTGAAGATGGAAGCACAGAGGGTAGACATTCAGCCCCCATGCACTTTGTAACAGCATAGGAATGTGGGAGGGGCCTGAGCCTCTGGGGTTCCTTCAAGATTGCTTGGCTCTCACAGTCTCCCTTTTCTCCACAGGTTCCCATGAACTCAGAAGTTATTATGGACACTATACAGGTGAGGGGAGAATGTCCATGCTCTCACCGATCCCACCCCACCCAACATGCTCTCCAGGATTGTGGTGTTATGTAGAACACTTTCCTGCTACTCTCCGATCTCTTGGGTCTGAGGACTCTGGAGAAGCCCCAAGCCCAGGGTCCTGAGTCTGGGCCAGGGGTTTTATGGAGGGGTTTCCATTTCTGCCAACCACTGGAATATGGTTGGAAGGTTGTTCCAGGCACAGGAACCAGTCTGTGCAAATACTTAGAGGTGAGACTGAAATGGGAGTTTTCAAGAAATTGCAGGTCTCTTATGTCTGGTGGGAACCAAGAGCAAGGGGTGGGAATCATCCTGAAATAGCTTAAAGATGATTATGTAGATTGGGGGTTAAAAGAATATTCATTTCATTTAGTGAGCCAGGTAGGTGATGGTGGAGAGCCAGAGATGTGAGGTAACTGTGATCCAAAGAGTGATGTACATGTAGAAAGAAATGTAGACTAATGACCTCTGGGCTTAAAGGAGAAAAAGCGAGCCCAACTTTGGTTGTCTGGTAAGCATGATGTTAGGGACCCCAGAGGAATTTGCTTACAGAAGGATGAGGCCCTGTATGCTAGGCACAGAGCTTAGAGGGTGACAACTTCTTCACCTGCCTGTGGTTGCTATGGGCAGACACAGTGATCATTAGGACCATGAAAAGAGAGAAAACACTAATGGTACCTGGTCCTCATATGTCCTGTGAGTTGAGGAGTTAGGTAGGAAGGTATACAGGATGGAGATGTGTGGGGTCATGGATGGGGGTTCTTGGGAGAGATGCTGCTCATGGACTTGGCTCTCCCGATTGTGGCAGGGGCAGGTGAACTTTGAGGACGTGTTCGTGTACTTCTCCCAAGAGGAGTGGGTGCTCCTTGATGAGGCTCAGAGGCTCCTGTACCGTGATGTGATGCTGGAGAACTTTGCACTTATGGCCTCTCTGGGTAAGGCCATCACATCCACCCCAGTGACTTGGACTGGGCCCTGCCCTTCCCGTTTTTTTTTCAGAGCATCCTTGTCCTTCCTGTATCAGAGCCATGGACACTGCCTCCTTCCTTAGTTCCTGGAATAGGTTCTGTGAGTGCTGGGCTTGGGCTGTTTGCACTCCTACCTCCTAAGCATTCCCAAAACCTCCTGTCTCAAAGCCTTGCAGGGATGGATTCAGGAGTTATGCATTGTATTGTCAGCCCAGTGGGTCATATCCATCTTGTCCTTTCCTTGTCTGAATTCCTCTGTCTGTATCCATGACACCTCTGTGCCTGGGATTCTGCACTCTTCTTTAGCTGACAGTTCCTGTGGCCTGCCTATACCAGTAACTGTATGGACCATTATAGTCACTACTTGCTAGGACCACTGGGCTATTACTGCAAGACCGTACTCTGAGATTATTTTAATAATATTTAGTTTTCTATATGGGTTACCCAAACCAGTGTTGTTCTGTCTTTCCCTAGGACATACATCTTTCACGTCCCACATAGTTGCCTCACCGGTGATGGGTACCTGACTGGGTGGACGTGACCCGAGCTGTTGCCACAGGGACTCTAAGTAGGAGTGGCCCTGGCAAGTGGGAGTTGGGGAAAGGTGTGATATCAGGGCTGGGTTCATATCATTCCATAGCCTCCTAGTGCCTACAGTTGTATTAGTGCTAGGGACACTGAACCATACTTCATTTTTATCCACTTTCTCATTTATACACTTGCCTTTCATGCTCTGGCCTCTGGCCTCTGGATGTTTCATACCTCTGCCTCCAAGTCTCGCCTGTTCCTCTCCAGTTCTACAGTACCTTCCAACATTGTCCTAAACTTACTGTTTCATGAGATGTGTAGCCCAAATAATCCTTAACCAACTACTGAGTAGCAATTTGATTTTCTTTGGTATGGACCATAAGCTTTTGCACAACTCTCACCTGTCCCCAGCAGCCAAGAAAATCTGATTGTGAATGCCTTTGAGACCCTGCCTCTTTTTTGTGCTGTACCCCACATCTTTGTCCTCTCCCAGTTGAGGCCTCCTCCATTCTATGACATTTAGATGCCAACTACTGTATAGTACACATTTGCTGAACTTGAGTTTGGACCCTTGTCCTAACGACAGTCCTATGACCTTGGTCTTAGTTGTGTTAGACACATATTTGTAGTAAGGCTTCCCCTCTTCCACCTGTGTCAATTTGTACTTCACTAGCATTTCTCTGCTTTCAGGTTGTTGGCCTGGAACAAAGGATGAAGAGATACCTTTTGAGCAGAGCTTTTCTATAGGATTGTCACAGATCAAGATTCCTAAGGGAAGTCCTTTTACCCAGAAGGCTTACCCCTGTGGGACATGTGGCCTGGTCTTAAAAGACATTTTGCACTTGGCTGAGCACCAGGAAACACATCCAGGGCAGAAACCATACATGTGTGTCCTGTGTGGGAAACAGTTCTGGTTTAGTACAAACCTTCACCAGCACCAGAAGCAGCACAGTGGAGAGAAACCCTTTAGAAGGGATAAGAGCAGGGCTTTTCTTGTGAACAACTGCCCTGTCCAGTCATCAGAGATGTCTTTTGTGACAGAGGCTTGTAAGGACTTCCTAGCCAGCTCAAGCATTTTCCAGCACCATGTCCCTCACAATGAATGGAAGCCACCTAGCAGCACCAAGTGTGAGGAGGCCTTTCACCATGGAAAAAGGCATTACAAATGCAGTGAATGTGGGAAAACCTTCAGCCGCAAAGACTCACTCGTTCAACACCAGAGAGTCCACACTGGAGAAAGGCCTTATGAGTGTGGTGAATGTGGGAAAACCTTCAGCCGCAAACCCATACTTGCTCAACACCAGAGAATCCACACTGGAGAAATGCCTTACGAGTGTGGCATTTGTGGGAAAGTTTTTAATCATAGTTCTAACCTGATTGTACATCAAAGAGTACACACTGGAGCAAGGCCTTACAAGTGCAGTGAATGTGGGAAAGCCTATAGCCACAAGTCTACACTTGTTCAGCATGAGAGTATCCATACTGGAGAAAGGCCTTATGAGTGCAGTGAATGTGGAAAATACTTTGGTCACAAATACAGACTCATTAAACATTGGAGTGTTCATACTGGAGCAAGGCCTTATGAGTGCATTGCATGTGGAAAGTTCTTTAGCCAAAGCTCTGACCTTATTGCACATCAAAGAGTTCATAATGGTGAAAAGCCTTATGTGTGCAGTGAATGTGGAAAAGCCTTTAGCCACAAACATGTACTTATTCAGCATCATAGAATTCACACTGGAGAAAGGCCATATAAGTGCAGTGAATGTGGGAAGGCCTTCAGGCAGAGGGCTTCCCTCATCCGACATTGGAAAATTCACACTGGAGAAAGGCCTTAGGCTGGAATATAGATACTCCATTTTTTTTGTTTAACATAATAACTGACCCCAGAGAGAAGCGCCAAGAGTAGTCTTTATGTGTAGCCAGCAGCCAAAAGTAGAACTTTATACACTCACTCACTCACTCTAGGGAGGTTCTTCTGAGTGCCAGCTATATGGGAAGCTTTCTGGAGCTATGCTGAATTTTCTAGACCCTTGCTGGAATTTCATCAAGGCAGTGCCTCTGATAGAAGCCATCTGTCTTTGTGCTGGAAGAGTCCTGCATTGTGCAAAAGTAACCCTAATATGCTTCAAAAGGCAGACCTCTGTGCTTTTCCCTTCCCTCGAGGGAATCAGTAGCCTGTGGCCATCAAGGATTCTCACTTTTTTCTGACCCACAACTGGTTTAAGCATGAGCATGACCCAGTTTTAGCCAGAAAGATAGGAGCTTTGTTCTGCTGCCCACTAGCAGAGGTTTCCCTTCTTCATGGATATGGTTGATCTCACATGGCACTTCTGATGGATTTGTCCAGCCTCTAAGACATCTAACCTGAAATTGGCTGCCTCATATTCTGGTTTTGTAACAAATGCCTTAATTTTTAGACTATCATAAATCTTGGGGATTCTGTTCGCTTTGTGGATTAGGTTGAGAACAGAATTGGGCTAAGCCAGTATGAAGGGATGAACAGCTTCTGTGAGAGCTCCAACTATTTGTATCTCTGAGGTGATAGTAGGGTGGCAAAGAATAGCTCTTGTTCTATTGTCAGCCTAACTTGCTTTGCTGCTGAAGGACAGAATGCCAGTCTCTGCAGCCCTAATCTTTTTGTCTGTATGTCAGGATTTTTGCATAACTGAGGTCACCCTAAGCAGTTGGCATTTGTTGTGATAATCTCTAGTGTATCTGGGAGCAACGAGAATTAGGTCCTTTGTTCCCAGAAGATATTTCTTATTCTCAAGGCTTCTTAAGGAGTGTTTGAACTCATGGGACCTGTCAAGATCTCTGAAATCTGTTTTTCAGTATGACACTGGCTGTTCTCCAAAAGGGCCGGGTAGGAATCATAGTTGGTGCAGAGACCCACATTATTAAGGGGATGGGAAAACTGCAGCAAACCATGGGGAATATGACCCTTCTAAAGGTATATCCACATGTGTTTCTGTTACTCTGGCTCTACCATGAGGGTTTACAGAAATATTTCCATACCTGTGTCTCCTGTGGATAAGATTACTGTCCAGAAGTCAGTCTAAACATTTTTGCAATAAACTGCACATACTTATAGTATACCATTTGATAAGTTTTGATACACTTCTTTCCCAAAAGTTTCCTGATTCCCTTTATATTTTCTCACTTTCCTTCGCCCATCCCCAGGCAGCCATTGATCTGTTGTCACTGTAGATTTGTCTTTCCTAGAATTCGACAGATAACAGTAATTTAATATGTATTCTTATGTTCCTGATTTCTTAAACTCTGAAATTATTTTATGGTTCATAATGGTGTTCTGTGATTCATAGTTCATTTCTTTTCATTTATACTATGCTAAGAGTATTCCATTGTGGAGAAATAGTTCCAAAGCAAGTGATCCAGAAGAGAACTCACACAAGAACAAAGCCACTTTGAGACCAGCCTGGTTGACATAGTGAAACCCCATCTCTACTAAAAACACAAAAAGCTAGCTGGGTGTGGTGGCAGGTACCTATAATCCCAGCTACTTGGGAGGCTGAGGTAAAAAATTGCTTGAACCTGGGAGGCAGAGGTTGCAGTGAACCAACATTGTGCCACTGTACTCCAGCCTGGGCAACAGTGTCATACATCTCAAAAAACAAAACAAGACAAAACAAAAGTCACAGTATTTGTCACTACTTTAAACTGAAAGTGATGAGCCATCATTTCTGCTATATTTCATGGGTTGCCCTGCCTAATCCTGGTTAAAGATGGAAGAAAACTACACAAAGGTGAAAATAGGGATTTGTAGGGCGTTCTCTTGGACTCTGGTGACCATAATCCTATGTGTTTTTTTTTTTTTTCTTTCTTTTTTAGTTGTTTAATGTGAATTACATTGACTGATTTTTTTTTTGTTGTTAATTAAGTTAGCCTTACATTTCTCAAATGATTCCCATTTGGTCATGATGTACATTGTTGAATTTGATGTACTGTTTTGTTTTTATTTTTTGTAACGAATTTTGCACCAATGTTCATGAGTGATCTTAGTCTCTAATTTTCTTTCTTGCTTGCTTGTTTTTTTTTTCTTTCTAATTTTCTTTATTTCTTGCCCAGGTTTGGCTTTGGTACCAGCATAATGTCAACTTTACAGAATAAGTTGGGAAGTATTCCAGCTCTTCAACTTTCTGGAAGAGTTTGTGTATAATTGGTAGTATTTCTTCCTTAAATGTCTGGTAGAATTCACCAAGGAAGCTGTCTGGGCCTGGAATTTGTTTTGTAGGAAAGTTTATAACAACAAGTTTGATTTCCATGGTAGAGGGCTGTACATGTTACATATACATCTCTGTGTGTGTGTGTGTGTGTGTGTGTGTGTGTGTGTCTGTCTGTCTGTCTGTCTGTCTGTCTGTCTGTCTCTCTGGGCCTGAAATGTGTTTTGTAGGATGGCTTCTAACTACAAGTTTGATTTCCATGGTAGATGGAGGGCTGTACTAGTTATATATACATCTGTCTGTCTGTCCATCCATCTGTCTGTCACTCCATCCATCCATCTCTAGAGTGAGCTTTGATGGTCTGTGTCTTTCAAGGAGTTTGTCTGTTTCACTTAAGTACTCAAATTTTTCAAAATATTATTTTCATACTTGTAGAATTTGTAGTGGTGCTACCTCTTCTATTCCTGATACTGGTAATGTCTATATTTCTTTTTAACCTTTATTTGTTTGGGTAGAGATTTATCAATTTTATAATTTTATTTATCTTAAAGTAGTTGGTATTTTTCAATTTTGTTTTCTGACATTTTGGGATTTTTTTCCATTTTGACTTTTACTAATGCCTTCTGCTTTCATTGGATTTCATTTCTTTTGCTACCTTTTTTTTTTTTTTTTTTTTTTTTTGAGACGGAGTTTCGCTCTTGTTACCCCAGGCTGGAGTGCAATGGCGCGATCTCGGCTCACCGCAACCTCCGCCTCCTGGGTTCAGGCAATTCTCCTGCCTCAGCCTCCTGAGTAGCTGGGATTATAGGCACGCGTCACCATGCCCAGCTAACTTTTTTGTATTTTTAGTAGAGACGGGGTTTCACCGTGTTGACCGGGATGGTCTCGATCTCTTGACCTTGTGATCCACCCGCCTCGGCCTCCCAAAGTGCTGGGATTACAGGCTGAGCCACCGCGCCCGGCTCTTTTGCTACTTTTTAACATGGAAGCTGAGGTCCTTCATTTCATACCTTTGTTTTTTTCCCCTAATATTGGGGGGGAATGTTAATGTTAAAAATCTATCTAATAACTGCTTTAGAGCCGGGTGCGGTGGCTCAAGCCTGTAATCCCAGCACTTTGGGAGGCCGAGGCGGGTGGATCACGAGGTCGAGAGATCGAGACCATCCTGGTCAACATGGTGAAACCCCGTCTCTACTAAAAATACAAAAAATTAGCTGGGCATGGTGGCGTGTGCCTGTAATCCCAGCTACTCAGGAGACTGAGGCAGGAGAATTGCCTGAACCCAGCAGGCGGAGGTTGCGGTGAGCTGAGATCGTGCCATTGCACTCCAGCCTGGGTAACAAGAGCGAAACTCCGTCTCAAAAAAAAAAAAAGAACTGCTTTAGTTACCTCCCACCAACTTTGATGTGGTTTCATTTTAATTGAGTTTAGAATGTTTTCCAGTTAAAAAAAATTCTTCTTGACACATGGCTCTTTTAAAATGTATGTTAATTAATTTCTAAATATTTGGGGTTTTCGCTTATCTTTCTAGTAATTCCTGCATTAATTCTATTGTGGTCAGAGTATATTAAGACTTGAATTATTTACATTTATTGAAATTTGCTTTGTGACCCAGAATACGGACTATCTTGGTATGAGTTACATGTTCACTTGAAATATATATTGTACTCTTGTTTGATGAAGGGGTTGTATAAGTGTTGATTAGGTAAAAATGGCTGATAATGTTATTTAAGTTTTTTTATATCTTTGTTGACATTCTGTGTTTTTGTTTTGGTTCTAACAATTATTTTAAGAGGATTGTTGCCATCTCTGAATATCAAATTGGATTTACTTCTCTGTGCAGTTCTGTCAGATTTTGCTTCACATATTTTGATGTCTTTTTATTAGGTGAATAATAAATATTTCCTATTTTATGTCCACTCAATGTGTTGACCACTTTATCATTATGATCCTTTTAATCTTTAGTAATATTCTTTGTTCTAAAATCTCCCTTGTCTGATACTGTTAACATAGTTTAATTTTGACTGGACACTGAATTTTAGGTACTGGTTTTTGTTTTTTTGTTTTTTGTATTTCTATAGATTTTTTTTTTTTTTTTGAGACAGAGTTTCACTCTTATTACCCAGGCAGGAGTGCAATGGCACGATCTTGGCTCACTGCAACCTCTGCCTCCTGGATTCAGGCAATTCTCCTGCCTCAGCCTCCTGAGTAGCTGGGATTACAGGCACGTGCCACCATGCCCAGCTAATTTTTTGTATTTTTAGTAGAGATGGGGTTTCACCATGTTGACCAGGATGGTCTCGATCTCCTGACCTTGTGATCCACCCGCCTTGGCCTTCCAAAGTGCTGGGATTACAGGCGTGAGCCACCGCGCCTGGCCTTCTATAGATATTCTTGATTTCTTTTTTCTGTTACATGGTTAAGTGACTTAGAAACAATATGATCTTTTCGAGGTCTTGATTCTAAGCATTTCTAGATGAGACTATTGCAGCATACATTTTAAGACGAATTCCCTACTGAGACAAAACCTTTTCTATATTCTCTACCTAATGCTTCATGAATTATGAGGTTTTTTACTCAAGCTGGTTGGAATGAGAACTATCATCTTTTACCACCTGCTGACTAAAGTGGCCTCAAGCCTTGATTAAACATCAGTGGCAGTCAGGCAGTAGAGATTGTGGACCTTGGGCAATCCCCAGTACTGTGCTGGTCAAAGAGTCCGAGTCCATGGGTAGACTAGCATTACTGTGATGCTAACTGTGATGGCCACAGGAATCCCTGTGTCACCTCTCCCCCAAATACAGGCAGCCTGGCATATAAAGGGAGATTCTTTATTCTTGGGGGAATGAGAGAGAAGAGAGTGAGGAACTTTGCCTGGGAACCCAGAAAATTCTCCCTTCTCTTTCCCACATCTATCTAGGCTTGGTATCTAGGAGTCTGAAAGACTGATTCAATACTTGGAATTATGGCACCCTCTAGTGCTGAAATGGTTTCAGTGACCACAGTTTAGGGAACTCAGCACTCAGTCTCCTTTGAATTCTCAGAAGGCCCTCTGAAGCAGCATGGGTACAAACAAGGTTAGACTGTGAAGACTGGAGTAAATAACAAACTCTTATAAGCATCAAGAACATTCAGGAAAATATGATCTCACCAAATAGACTAAGCTGCCCAGTGACCAACCCTGGAATGACAGAGATCAATCAGACAAGGAATATCTTTCAGACAGGGAATTCAAAATAACTGTCTTGAAGAAGCTCAAAGAAGGTCAAGAAAACATGAAGAAAGAATTCCAAAATTTAGCAGAGAAATTAAACAAGAAGATTGAAATAATTACAAAACACACGTGTGTGTGCACACGCACACACACACGCACACACACAAACACACAGAAATCCTAGAGATGAAAAAGACAATGGGTGAACTGAAAAATACAACAGCAGCATAACTGATTAAGCAAAATAACTTCTTAGCTTAAATACAGGCTATTGAAAATACAGAGGAGAAAAAGGAAAAAGAATGAACTGTACTTAAAAGATAAAATAGCTACAAAAGAGCAAGTCTAAGAGTGATTAGCTTTAAAAAAGGAAGTAGAGAAAGATGTAGGGATAGACAATTTATTCAAAGAAATAATTATAGAGAACTTTCCAAATTTAGAGATACATATGAATATCCAGGTATGAGAAAGTCAAAGAATGCCAAGGAGATTCAGAACAAAGCACATAGCAATCAAACTCTCAAAGGTCAAGGACAAAAAGAGAAAAGGTAGCAAGAGAAAAGAAGCAAAGAACATATAAAGGAATTCCAGTACATCTGGTAGCAGTCTTCTCAGCAGAAATCTTATAGGCCAGAAGAAAGTGAGAAGCCATATTTAAAGTGCTGAAGGAAAACATTTTCAACCAGGAATATTCTAGTCAGCAAATATATTCTTCAACCATGAAGGAGACATAAAAGCTTTCCCAGCAAACAAAAGCTGGGGGAATTCATCAACACCAGGCCTGTCTTACAAGAAATAGTAAAGACAGTTCATCAGTCTGAAAGAAAAGAATGCTAATATGCCACAAGAAATCAACTGAAGGTAAAAAACATACTAGCAAAAGTAAATACACATGCCAACTGAGACTATTCTAATACTGTAGTTCTGGTGTGTGAACCCCTCAAATCTTTAATATGAGCACTAAAATACAAATGTATCAAGAATAATAACTAGAATAACTTTTTTTTTTTTTTTTTTTTTTTTGAGACGGAGTTTCGCTCTTGTTACCCAGGCTGGA